ATGTGAACAAATGATTACAAGAAAATCGTATAGCAAAGCAGAGCTGATGTGTCTATGAGGCTTACCTGGCTTGGTGATTTTATCTGTTACATATCAGTGCGTGAAATTGCCATAGCATCTAATCCACTGCACGCTTTACTTTGCACGTTGAAGAAGGGACTCTTGGAGATGTGTGTGTGTGTGTGTGTGGTGGGGGGGGGGGGGGGGGTCGTCTGCTGGACAAATTTATGGCTTTGATTTTACACCATCATGTGCTAGTGAGAAGTTAGACCCCATTTCACTGGTATCGCATCACAGCACAACAGGCAGTATAAAGCGGCAAAACAGCATTTGCCAGTAAGCTCCCCTGAAGCAACCATAGAGCCATGAGAGGCACACTGTCGACGCTGGTGCCGCAACATTCTGCATCAACTGAGCCAAGACTGGCAGGTCCAACATATTCCAACATGATCTATCACAGTTTTTTATTGCAGTCTATGCATGTGGCCTTTGATGTGAGCAGATGATAAATGCAGAGTGAATCCCATTACACTGATGTGCAAGCAGAGGGCAGCCAAATGGACTTGAAAGTATTTCACACCAGCTGCACTTCAGTGGCTTTGCATTGCCACTGGAGGGCTTATACTTTATATTTACATTTAAAATACTCTTATACAGAAAATGGAATAAAACAAAGATAAAGTGCAGGACGGAAACTCCAAACTTTCAAGAAGATAACATGAATGTTCAAAGACTGTAAGACAAAAGAACTGAGTATTAACACCTGTTTTTATGTCCATCAGTGATGGGCAAATAATCATACTGAATTAATCAGACATGTCAGCAACCATTCAGATGTCTTCTAAAAACACAGTTGGGACATAACTATGTGCATGTTTCAGTCTGTTTTTTATGTGTTTGCGTAAATGTGAGAATCCATGCTATGCTTTCACTCACTTGGCCCTCATCAGGTCCTGGTCTTTGAGGGCAGATCCTTGCAGGTAGATAACCCGCTGAGACCACAGAGGGATCTGGAGGATACGGCGAACCTGAATGTCTATCTCTGTCGGGCACAGAATCACCACGTAATAGTCCTGCGCGACAAAGACAAACACAAGTGCATTTAGCTAAATGCTTTTTTATCTAATCTTTTTTCTGTATAACATTAAATATTCCGGATTGAATAAGCAACACTCAAAGTTACTGTCTGGTTTCGTCTCCTCTCACTTGGAATGAGCAGGTCTCAGAAGAAAGTTAAAGCATTATGGCCATTTGGTCTTTTCACTGTACCTGCAGTCTGGGATGAGCGTAGAACTCATTGAGGAAATCCATTAGCAGGTCGATCTTCAGTGAGCTGACACACAACACCACATGCTTCTCTGTCTGTGCGCGGTGACGACTGTAGTTTCCTCCTAACTTCTGGCTCTCCATCCACAGGTACGCTAGTTCTTCAAACTGACACAACGACAATGACAACAACATCAATGTGATGTCACAAGCAACAAGAGTCGACTAAATAATGGGAGAGAGATAGATTTGCTGTCTGGACACAGATGGGGAGTTGGAGCGCTCGAATGAAAACTGCTGATGCAGCGGTTTGCGAGCAGCAGGAGTTCATTTCTATTTCTCACCCAATTTGCTCAGCAGGGACAGTAAACATCTAAGAACACTTGACGTGATGAACATGTTAGGGATATTAAAAAATAAATAACACAATGAACGGGGGCTGGCATGACTTGGCATGAATTCTGAATGAGATTTGAAGACTTCCTCTGCAGGGAAATATGTCAGCGAAAGAAGCATTTTAGTAGATTATTTGCTGCCAGCCTGTGAAAGCTACAACAAAATGTCATTTAATGTTGGATGATAGCCCCATGAGGGTCATTACTAGATGCAGAACATCAAACTACCTATGATAAGTCAAGAATGCAACCGCTCACTGCACTTAGGGGAAGAAAACACTACGTTAGTTTAAGCTATAGTTAGTACCTGCAGTGGGAGGACCACCAGGGCAACACAGATGAGAATGACCACCAGCAGCTGCGAGGGCCAGATCTGTGGCGTTACGTCCCCATAGCCCACAGTGGAGAATGTGACGATGCAGAAATAGAACGAGTCAAACAAGGTCAGGTGCTTCCCTGCTCTCTCTAGGTGCTGGATCCCACAAGCTCTGCAGAACAACGATGAATTACACAGCGACATCAGACACATCTCCTACGAATAAAGATAATTCAAATAAGACACACGAGGAGATATTTTAATTAGGGATTCTCCTTCAGTATTATGCTTCAGCCTGGTGGAGTGCATATCAAAATTCAATTTTACCAGGATCAAAGGGCACCAAAGTCAATACCGCTAAGGCTCCGCAGTATGTCATTTGAAGTGACACCACTGATTGCTCTGTCAGTTCCACCTCGCTGCTTGTGCTTATTCGTTTGTGGGGTTTTTTTCCATTGATAAGTTGAAGATTTAATGAAACCCTGAGGCAGAGTGGGGGATGGGAATGTCTAACTGGACGGGGTGGAGTGGATGAGGTAGGTGCTGGGTGGTGGCCAAGGCTCATGAGAGTTGCCAAGGGAGCGAAGGTCTGAGAAGTGACAGCTCTGATGGAGAAACTGGATAAACTGGAATTATAAGAGTGGAAATTAATGAGATATAAGAAATGAAAGATGAGTGAATAAGAATTGGCCATTTATGTCAAAAACCTTCACTAGGTTTTTTCCCTTAATGTCACTTGTTCCTGCCGAATTTTCTTTTTGTTGGTCTCTCATGTGACCTGATATCCAACAAGTGTTTCTGCACGTTTCCTTGCTGCTCATCACCATTTTTGATCACAAAATAGTTCAAACATCAAGATAATGAAGGTCAAAGTATTATTTGTGTTTTTACATTTTATGACATTTACCCTTTGCTTTTGCAAGTTACAGAAGCAAACTGACTTCATAATGTTAAATAGCTCTGACATTTTACATTTTCTTGCTTTCTTACTTTCAGTTTAATTTTATTTTGCCATGCAAACTGTGCACATCTGACTCCAAAACTGAGCCAAGAGCAAACCATGCCTGCTTTCAAAATGCCAAATTTCAATCTCTGCTTTCACAACACATGTAGTTTCATGAATTATTCTGCAATTAACATTTGCAACACATGCATATGATGTTTTCTGGAAAGGTTCAGGTTCAGGGACCAGATTTTGCATTGAGGGTCAGTAAACAGGATGATTACATGAAAGCCTCTGTGATAGGAGATACATTTCAGTGATGAATAGCAAGAAAGATGTTCACTCACCCAGTGAAAACCAGACACAGTAAGGTGCAGATAAGGATGAACACCTGGTTGAACATGGCAGAGTGGGTCCTCTGGATGGCACGGTGGAAATCATTCTGGACAGAGGGAGAGAGACACATTAACTGTCATATCCATACCACTGACTGGGAATTGAATTACATTTTCCATTCTGGATTACCAATTACAACATCTTTAAATTCTCAATAAAAACTACATCAAAGACATGTGTATAACAATGCAAGAAAAGTCAGTTATTGTCTTCATATTTACTAACTTTGCCTTGACCTGGAGAGATTCTTTCTGTGTTAGGATATAACAAGGATGGACTGAATAAAATTCCACTGTTCTCTCCCTTTTATTAGTGCATGTTTCAACTAAATCCATATTATGCTTTTTCCCACATTAGCATACTGTCCATCTTGAAATATATGCAGCTCACGACTCATTTCCATTCACACCTTGTTAGCATGTTCCACCTGCCACCGCCTCTCCAACCTGCCATTGCTTTCTCTCCATGTTCTGGTCTACTTGGCCCCAGATTCTACCATCTGCCCAACTACCGCCTTGGCATGAGGCTCTTGCTCTGTCGTGGTCTCATCTGTATCACGGCAAGAGCATGCACTACCATGGTTGGATATCATCTAATTGCTTTGAATTCCATGTACTCTGTGACTTTGCACCCATGGCAAATCCCACACAACACTGAAACTAGAATTCTGCACACCAGGCGTTTTTATCCTTCCTTTGCTTCTGCGTTACAGCGCAGTGTTTTGTCCTGTTTTGTTTTGCCTGCACTTGCCACTTGCCTCTTTTTGTTTTGGCTTGCCTTGCCTTGGGTCTACTTCTTTGATAGTGCTGTAGTCCCCCAATAAATGTAATTCATCATTACCTCAGCGTAAGTCTCTAGTTTAAGTGTTTGCACGCTTTGCAGTTTCATCACTACACCCCAGCAGCTGCAGCAGGTGGGATAATGAAGATCAATTGACTTGAATCAATCTAGTTCTGTACGTAACCATGCAGAGAAGATACTATATAAATACCTGACAAAGATACAAAGATTGCTGTAATATGGATGTAGAAGTATTCAGTAAATAGCCTGAATTGGACTCATTTCATTTTTAAGCAATTATAAAAAAAACTAAAAAACTAAAAAAAAAAAAACACGTCTCTATCCCTTGCCTCTCTTATCTTTTCTTAAATTGGCAGTCAGCTCAGTTAATCCAAACAAATGGTTGGTGTTAGCTTTGCTGGCCAACTAATTAGCCAGGAGGCTAATTTATCAGAGTAACCAGCATTAATGCTAACAGTGTCACACAGAAGGATGGCATTGGCTAGTGTACAAATTAGATGTGTTCACAAAAAGACAGTGTCAGCTAACGAGGAAGAAAGAACTTCCCTTGCTCAACTGAATTCTGTCCAGACGGCTAATTTGTATAAACCCATTCAGTCAGTCTTACTCATGAACTAAGGAGACTTCCAATATGGCTGCCACAGGGCGAATAATGCTCCTTCCCGCAGAGCTAAAACCCATGCAGCTCTGCGTGTGTGCTGTAAACTCTGTTTATGCCATACATCTACAATTGGTACATTACAATATGCACATAAAAATACTTACAATCATGTTCTCCAGGGCACCTTTGGCAAGCCAGCAGTTAAGAAATACAGGGACGAATATGTTTCTCAATGGAGGCCAGAAGATCTTAAGCAGGACAGGAAGGAAAGAAGGAAGTGAGAAAATGAGAAAAATGTGTGTTAGATACAAATCAGTTAACATACCTGTGACACAGTAGGAAATCTTTATCCTTAATAAAGAGAAAGAAAGAAACAAAAATTGGCAATTTCTCATAAAGGGTATTTGGATGGTAAATGTTAAGCTGGGATGAGGTAGAAATTGTATGGAGGCATTAACATTAGCTCACTGGACTGTACAGAACAATCTAATAACAAAATGACCTCGAGCATAAATGAAGCAGCTGTGCTAATACAATTTTGTGGAACAGATTGATTGATCAACTGATTAAGCTAATTACTCACTGTGATTATAAATGGCACTGAATTGATCATCTCCAATATGAAGGATATCTGGAAGATCTGCTCCCAAATGTTCCCCTGGAAAGGAAATGATGTGAAATATGTCAATGAACCAGTGACAGGTCAGATTGTTTTAGAGAGAAGTGTTATTCCAGTAATAGTGACCTTTCTAAGAAGTCAGCTGTCACAAGAAAACCGTATAAAAGGCCAGATAACTACAGTTTTGTCAGTATGTCCATGTTACACTCTAATGGGTGAGTAAAATAAAATCAAACAAGCTGCTTTCTTTGGTATAAACAGTTGGAATGGAGCAGTAATTAATGCTGGGTCAAGAAACAACTCCTCTCTGACCTGTTTTTATTCTTAAAGCATTCAAAGCATGTGCCTTGTTTGTGGAGCATGTTACTGATGCTTAACTACTGTTTAAGAGTCTGTATACAGAAATGTTTTTAATTAAATCTCTGTTGAACACAATTCTTCCTGGTTTTATGAATTTTTGAAGAGTTTACTTTTTAACCTTCTGTAAGCTGCATTCTCTGCTACTGCTTTTACACATGATATGTAAATGTTTAGTTTATTATTATGTGCATCATATTAAGATATTTCCAAATAAAAAAAAAAACACTAGTTTATTTGAAGACCGACAGTACCCTGTGGACACTGGCAAAATGTAGACTATCTTCAAAAGGCCAGATGATGCAGTATTTACATAAAGAAAAGAGTGGTTGCAGCTAACTGCATATTGAGAGCACAGCTGAGTTGAAAAGGTGCAGCTCTGATGTGGATTGTGTCTATGATGGAGCTGTCAAAAACATCAATAAAGAAAATAAAACTCTGTGAGACCAAAACATTTTACAAGGTTACAAGTCGCCACCATCTGAGAAAAATAAAATTCAGGCATTTGGTCCCCATGAAATAAATGTAGTATGGGTCCCCACATGACCCTCTGAGGAAAGACAAAAAGATATGGCGAGACATGAAAAGATGAAAAAAAGATTGCATTTAATAAAACCCCCAACCAAATTTTAGAGATCACCACGGGGGAAGGAGCTGAAATCTGTAGAGCAACATGTCTAAGAAACACTATGGGTCTCAGAGCAGCAAATATAAAAGCTAAGATTTCCATGCAAAGAAACTTTTTTTGAGACCGGTAATAGTTCTGAGGACTTCGGCTTTGGCAGGATTCAGACTTAATCTTCATAAGCTGTGGGTGGCGATAACAGGACAGGTGTCGTCTGTATGTTTGATCCCCATATCATTAAATCCCAAGGTCATTCAGCCTTACTGCATTTAAGACATTTAAATCTAAACTGAGCTTTTCTTCAATGTCTAACTAAAGCAACCACAGAAACAGAAACACCTGTATGTAACGCAATCCATCCCAGAGCCATTTAATTACTTGCACTGTACTTTTGTGAAACTTGAAATTTATTGCTGACACTGAACTGCATGAAATTGGAAGATGTTGACCACCTAATTTACATACGGCGTATTACTGTATAGTAAGGGGCAAAGATGAGCTTCATGTGCATGCTCATTATCAGTGGAGGAATCTCACACTTTGGCTGACCCTTGCTATTTGTATGAACACGAGTTATTTCCACAGAATACATAATGACGATATCTCTTCTCACTATTCACATGATGCGCCCTTTAAATGCATATGAACCAAGGACAGAAATGCACCTTGAAGATGAAAACCACAGCGTGCACTTCCTGCTCTATGAGCCCTTTTACATAACCTGTATCTGCAACAGAGTGTGATGTCTGAGTCTAAAACTAGGCAAAGAGACTCCTGGCTCCCATGTCTTTTAGAGGTGCCTTGGCACTGGCACAGAGAGCTGTCGGCCCACGAGAAGAAATAAACAGGCAGTGCTGGACTTTGGTCAGACAGCTGCAAGACATCAGCATGGATTAAAGAGAGAAACTGTGCACTGCGAGTCCGTCTCTTACCTTGTAGCTGAGATATGTGATAAGCATGGTCTCCAAGAAACTGATTAAGGCCACCGACACCTGGAGCAGAGGGGGATAGGGAGTTAAATGAACCGAGCAACTGCAAACTCATCACTTCTGGATACTCAACCTTCACTGAGGAACTACTGCGCCCTGCAAATCTTTTATCAAATAAATGGGTGCTGGTGTGTTTGGACTGAATAATGCACTGAGATTCAGTTCATGCAGTGGAAGTTAGATTTATGTGCACTTTCACCGGCGTGTTATTATTCTCACCTGTATCGCCCACACCGACTCCCTTCTGTTCACCCAGAAAATCAGGTCCCTGTCAAAAACCATCAGAAGCTTTTCTTCACACTCCATTGCATCTCCACAGAATTTCACTTTAAAGTTACGACTAAATGCCATTTTGACAGAAACGTACCACTTGATTTCTGATGACTCTGCTGTGTTTGTCCAACTGTTGTTCCGGCACATTGGACTGCTGAAAAACAAAAACACAGCAACAAGAGAAACACACAAGGGGCATGAAAGTGTGTGTGAATGTGTGTGCATGAGTGGAAACATACCCACTGGGAAACATTTCAATCAGTTAACATGCTTGCATAAGGAACAAACCCGAATGTGTCTCTAAAAGCTGTTGGCAGTTGGCACAATACAGACCATCTACAACTTTCTCATGACTGTACAGGAGGAGCAATTTATCTTTGCTTATTCTCACTTACTTTAAGTTTTAAACACAGAAAATTAATAAAATTATGTGGCCACTTCAAGACAAAGAAATTCATTCCTAGACAATGTTAATGTTTTGTCATCAAAACCACACAATGTCACCGACTTAAATGCTGAGTTAGGTTTTCAGTTTTAGGTATAATCCTCAGAAGAAGCCCTTAGAGATCTTCCATGTGCTGAAAGTAAAAATCCAAAATATTTCCATATGAGTAAATGTTGTCTGCTCTCTTTATATCTTTCACATTTGCTGTTTTTATGCCTATGCCAATAGGAATTGTTTTTTCCACTGAAAAAATCCACATACAGCAAGTTATCTGGTTGGTTCGGCATTAATAGAAGACGAATAAAAGACAATAAAGACAGATGGTATTAAAAGTGATAAATCAAAAGAGAAAAGAGCTGCATCTACAAAAACAGTTTCTTCACAGTAGCTTTTTTTCTGTCACATTACTTTTACTAAGCATCAAAATCAAAAACAACAAATCACATATTAAAAAGCAACTATCCAAAAGAATGTGGACACATCAGGCACAGGGAATAACTGATGAATGGGAAGCTTCTATTGAATGTGACTCTCACCATGGGTTGCCATTTAAATCCTTGGGGTCATCCAGGCTGACTCTCACTATGTACAGGACACAAGTGAGAATCTTCAATGAGAAGTTGAACAGGCGGATTCTCAGGCCTGTGGAGCAACAAAGACAGCAACATCGGACATGTGAATCAAAAACTGGTTCCACACTTGTCTGTTGTTTAGAGTTCAATCCCTGAGGGGTTATGACCACCTCTGCGATTGTAAGTTTGCTGCTGACAACAGAAGCTGTCAGATCTCTCCTCATTAGGACACTGACACTGCTTGAACACCATTTCTTTAGGTGCATAAAATGCCTTTAGTGAAAGCCATAAAGTGACTATATCTGTTGAAGCCCTGAAGCATGACTAATGCAGGTCTATGTTGCTCTGGCACCCTGTCACAACTGATTTCCCCTGACGCATAACTTTCAAATCCTCTAAGAATAACACAAAGTAACACCAGCATAATTATTTATTTATTATAATATGACGCAGGACAACACACAGCGAGATAAATAACTGGTGGGATTACACAGAAATAGCCCAGTGGGATAATGTTGGTAGAATCACAATCTCCTTCTCAAGTAAGTGCAGGCATAGACTGATATGCACACACGACTTGCAAATATGCAGAGCAGAAACTTGGTGTGCATGCAACATGCTTGCTAGCCAGAGGGTGGTGCTAGCTGTACTACCCACATCCAATCAGTCTCAGCGGCTGCCTAATCTCTAGTGACGCGACCTCTTCACATGAAGCCAGCATCAATGTTAAAATGATTTGAAACGTGGACTCACACAAACAATGTTGCAGTGCAATAGAGCAACATACCCCTGCAGCTGAGTGTGACATTTTCATTAGACTCTGTTGTTTTATGTCAAAGACTGTGGAGGCTTAGTGACAATGACAAATTAAGGGAAACACAGCAGAGCCTCATCAGTGTCAAGGACATGTTAACGACATGCTTTAACAGAGACAGAGAGTTCCCATAGTGTCCATTTTTTACACCCAGATGCAAATGAATGGCTTTCAGACACAATGCACCAAACCACTGAGCTGCACCAGAGTCTCTTTCAGAGATGTTGTGGCATAGCCAGTCTTATCTCCTAATGAGAAAAACACTGCAGCACTGCCTCGTCTCGCAACAAATGACCCATGCTCTTTTGTCCATGCTGGGCCACAGTGTGCACACACACTAAACTACAGTCATTTAAAATGAGGCAGTTAATGTAATAATGGAAAACCCCATCTGAGACAGAAATTGGACATGCGTCATCACTGACTGCAATTTCCTACATTATGCTTTTTATTTCTTCATTTAGATCTGAGCATACGTATCTCGTGGCAGCAGGAGAGGAGAGTAGTGCGACGCTCCCTGTGGGCTGTACTTACTTGACCTTTGGTTTTTGATGAAGAAAAGCTTCAGCCTCTCCTTAAAGGTGTTTTCGTTCACGTAGAACTCCACCTGCACCCTGTGGGGGAACAGTGACAAAGTGTCAGTCTAAACGTTTACAGGTGGCTGCGCAGAAACATTTAAATAAGCCCCCCTACCAACACATGCACAGCAGAATTCAAAGCACATTATCGAGAGAGCCCTGTGATAGACTGGCGACGTGTCCAGGGTGTACCCCGCCCTCGCCCATTGTCAGCTGGGATTGGCTCCAACCCCCTGCGACCCTACAACGATAAGTGGTATAGATAATGGATGGATGGATGGATTATCAAGAGAGATAGCGAATTACATTTGACTAAACAATGTCAAGCATATAATGGTGCTATATAATCAGGTGTAAGACAAAGAAGTGTATTAGCGCTTACATAGATGTGTTGAATTCAGCATCAGTTACAGTAAATGTTACACATGTACACAGACATACTATGTTTGCATTCAGGCTGGGTATCATCTGTGATTCTACCTCATATAATAATATAATACCTGAGTTTTTCTACTAAATCTTTATTCAAACAAAGTATGCCTATACTCCCAATGCTTATCAAATAATAAAAAAACTAAACTTAATTGTACAATACAGTTTGACACTTGATGCTAAAGAAACATTTCAGTTAGTGCACAAGAAGTTATGTACCCGGCTAGTTTGCATTCTAGCAAAAAAAAAAAGAAAAGAAAAAAAAAAGATTGTTGTTAATGTTAATTGTGCAAATTCCATAACTGTGTTTGGTGAAGGTAACAAAGGACAACAAGCATGAGCTTTATGGAAATCCAGGTCAGTTAAAGCTTTGCCTTTCACTCTTCTGACTAAAGCTGTTACCCTCCATTTACCATCAGTCATTATGTATAGTTTGCCTTCACAATGCAACAGTATCAGCCACAAATACATATGATCCCCCTGCGTGGGGGAGTTGAGCAATTTCGATTTTTATATTATATATTTATATAGAATATAAAAATAGAAATGTTTATAAACATTTACTAACCAGACACATAATCTGAAATAGACTATTTCCATAAGTAAGTGAGAACATGAGGACAGCCTGGTTCATGGTACAGTGGGTACTAACACAAAATGATCCATTATTAATTAACAATCAACTATTAAAAACTACAGTGCTTCAAATCTAACAGCTATGTTTTCTCACCAGTGACACGTACTTTGACGAATCCAAGGCTATTAAAGTTTCGAGCAGATGTAATGGACTTTAATAGGCTGGGGGGCTTGACCAGATGAGAACTTAAGCACAAATGATGATATAGACACTGTAGGTCAGTTAGACGAATGCAGGTAGAGAGACAGGTCTGCAGCATCTGTAATGTAGAGAGCTTGTTGTCGTTAATGAACATGAAAGGGTAGTAATAATGGCGCCTTGGACCCTTCTACTTCGTGTGACAAGATGAATACAGGGAGCAAAAAGGCAGGGGAGGAGAGGAAGGAGAGCAGGAGGGCAATTAGAGCAGCCGACTCCTGAGGGATGTACTGTATGTATGTGTAGATAAAGAGTGTAGGTGGAAGAAAGAACATGAAATATGCACCGTCTTCCAGCTATTTCCCTCTCCCCTTCTTCCGGCCTCATCGTCATGGAGACAGCTTCCAAGGCAGGAAATGTTCACTGTGTGCTTTGCATTTCCAGTATGAGGAATTAGGCGAATATACATACACACACAATGACATATTCTTATAGCTTATGCCTATAGGAACCAACCACACACTAACATCCCACCGTACCCAAACACACAGCTGTATGTAAACCAAGTGACCGTAAATAAAGACTAACAGTGGCAAATCAGGCGATCTGTAATGCATACAGACTGCCTCCATTGTCACAGCCATCAGAACAGACAGAAGTGAACACAGCAAAACCTTAAAATGTGACTCCAAAATAAACTCTGCATTGGCACTGGCCCGACAACACTGCGAAAAAGTGACAGAGCCGAGTGCGATTTTGTCAGTGTGTGGGTGGAGGGTGCTGATAACCATGTAATAACATGTCCCCCCCTTCTAATAATATTCTAATGTGAGTCTTTCCCTGCTTCCCTGGATGCAAGACGAGACAGCTGCAGTGCAGTCTGTAAGTATATTACATATAACATTTTTTGTAATGTTGGCTCTGTACTCCATCACATTATATTTTAGGAGAAAAAATAACTATGTGGTCAGTTTAAGAGTGTTTTCATCCATATTGAGTGAACTGTGTAGTGTGCACTGTTGCCAACTTAGCGACTTTCTAACTACATTTTTCGTGACTATTAAAACCCCCGTAATGACTTTTTTGAGTTGCCTGTGTTCTTACTCTAAATTACTCATTTAAACTATTTTTTATTCTCAAAAAAAGTTTACAAGACATAATCTAATGTCATCAAGCTCAAGCCATCAGGGCTTTAGCAACTTCCCATTTGAAATAGTTGGCAACACTGAATGATGGTCTGTCTGTCGATCACTCCACCACTTTGACTGAAATGTCTCAACAACTACTGGATGTATTTCTATGAACTACAGACATGTATTCATTCAAGAAGATCCTCACAGAGCCACTAGCATGGCTGTGGACTCTTATACTCTTGCATAGTATAGTCCCTGAATTTGAGGGAACAAATATGCGTAGTTGACGAATAAACAACACAGACTCTCTGGTCAGTCTCCGTTGACTAAAACTAATGTATTTATTCTGGGCCCAGGAAACAGACTACACATGAGAAACATTAATGAAAATGCTGAACTATTGATTCACCCACCAGCCTTTCATACCAAACAAGGAGTAGTTCAAAAGAATAACAATTTCCAGTGAGAACAGTTTGCAATAACAACATCTCAGGCACTAAGAAGCTACAATTTCTATGTCAAAGTTACAATCCTTAAAAGTAGCCAGTTTAACAGTAATCCAGCAATTATTCACATTCAACCACAATGGTACAAATTAAAAGTTTAAATAAATTCATCACATATATAGTATTTGTTTGCTGATTTGAAAACATTCCTCTGTTGACCCTGAAGAAAAACCTTGGATTAGCTCCTAGCTTTGTTTGTGCCATTTGTTTAAGATTATTGTCCAAAAAATGTCTACAGTTCCTATATGTTCATATTGGGTCAACAGTTGCACTTTCAAACATCCTGCATCCTGCACTATATCATCACAGTGGTTTAATACTACAGAGTACAGAGCCAAAAAAAAGGAAATGTGTCAGTATCAAACGTTTGCATCAGCTGCAAAGTTGAGCCCCTGCTGCGCCACCATTACTTTGATTTATGTTCACAAAATTAACAGGCACTAGAATGAAAATGATGATAAAAAATCTCTGTCAGACACTGCACCTTCTATCATGTGTCTAACTAGCTCCGAAGACGAGGCTCCAAACAGCACTTCTTCCACACTTGACGATTCCCAGCAGCTGCAGACCCACAGCAATACCTTTTAAGTACTTTAAGTACGATCTTTTCTTTGGCAGCTCTGTCACTGCAAACCATCACCGCCAAGCTATGGACATTAGCCAAACTGTCAACTATAAACGCAAGCAGTTTGAACGTCCAAGATGCAAGACAGCAGCTACAACAGGCTGGAACTTATTAACCTTAGGAAGAGATGTTTCTTTTGCCTCCCTTAAGTTTAAAGATGGTAGGCAAGGCATAAGCCAGGAATGTTTGCACACAGTCACAATAGATGGATCATATGACCTTATGTCCTTAACTAACAGGTCCACATGGTATGTAGAGCTTTTTGTATATATTGCAGCCATTCAGAGTATGTGACAAAGAGTCCATAACGAGTTCATGATCATGATGAAAGTAACGAGGAGTAAAAGTGTAACTTGAGAGAAAAACTAGGTCTGGTGGGAAGGACCTGATATCAAGTTTTGAATTGTTAAAGTGGCACAAACTCACACACACACACTCACACAGAGTAAACCATGACCATTGCCAGTGATAGGATTACAATTTTATGCACCCTTGCCTAAAACACTGAGCGACTACAACTGCTTTGTAGACTCTGTAAATAAACATCAAACAGCTTGTTGACTTGAGGATAATCTAGCTGACAGAGCAGAGCTATTCAAACGCCTGTTTTCATTCTAGTGCTGGAAGAAAAAAAAAAATATATATTGTCAGCCACCAGATGCTCTGTGCCATACGGAATATGTTGTATGAGTGTTGCCCTGCAACTCATACAACATTCATACAACAAGCATAGGTGAACAATAGTATCTGTTAGCCTGGTGGAACATCACCTGGGGATAAAAGGATCATAGGAACCGTGGGAGGAAGTAACAACACGCATCAGTCCTGAAACGGTGCACGGATTCTTCTGCAGAACAGAGACTGAAAACATTTCCCCTACAATCATCTAATATCCAGTCTTCTGGAAGGCTTTATATAATGCACATTTGGCAGCAACCAAAGTCAACATAAAGTAACCATGTCTAGATAACTAATGTTATCACTAGTGTTGACATAGCAACAAATGTGGAAATTATCAACCTGATTATCTGTGATCTATCAGGTTGCGTGCATTTGAGTGAAACATGTATCATAGCTTATGATACACGTGCGTCGGCACACAGACCAACTGCATACTGCATCTTGTCTGATAAACAGTAAGGCAACAGTCTTTCCCATTACAGCCTGAATACAGTTTATTATCCTTATTGTTTTGTGATGTCAGGTTTGCTCTGTCCCCCCTTTGATAAAGCAAGCAGTTGAAAATAGAAAATTTCCCATGCACCACCCTCAGAAGTGTGCCTGATATGAAAGCTGCAGGGATTCTAAAAATATTACACTCAGACATTAATATTCAAAAGCTGTGGCATCTTTGTTATTCTCTGCTTCTTTTTCACAGAGCTGCATCTAAAACCTCCTGTGGTGAAGTTACTTCTTGTCCAATAGCCTCATTACGGTGCAAAAATAGTTGAATGGGCTGCAGGCCAGACATGGGCTGTGGCAACTGTTAAAGTACTTTGTCAAATGGATATAGAAACCAGAAACCTCAAGAGGAAACCATGAGAGGTTGTGTTATAATCAGCTGG